GGGAAGATGAAAGAAGAAACATTATTTCATTGAGCAGTGTCAAGAAATTATATGGGAAGAAGAAAAAGAGGACAGATGGAAGGAATCCAGCTGTCTTCTTCTGCAAAGAAGAAATATCTTTGTAGCATTATGGCTGCTTTCAGGGTTCATGATTCAGCTTTCAGGTCGGTTGTTGATAGTTAGGATGTTTTCATTTTGACTTCATCTGTTGACAAGGCAGTAAGAGCTCTGTGAGGACACGTATCTCTCCATCACATATGACTAATTGTATTGGGACAGCCGCGAGCACAATAACACTTCTGTTTTCCTCCAGAACAGCTCCATTACAGACTGCCTGGTAGCTGAGCCCCAGCAAGTGTTTTTGCAGTTTTGCTGATTGTGCAGTCCAGATAACCTGTGAGAGAGCAAACATGGAAAGTGTTGAATATTCAGCTCAAAACCCAGAAAACAGACTTGTTTCACTGCTTGTCTGAACTGAGCTTTTAACTGCGTGTTGTCAATGCTTTTCAGGAAACTCATCTCGTCTGGGACACATCATCTGGCAGCGAAGTGCTCCCCATTTAGGGACAGCCATCAGGAGTTCTGCAAAGGCCAGGGCTCACAGCTAGGCACTGTTGTCTTTGCAGCTTAGTCTTGTTTCCCATCTCCTTGGAGAGCAAAACTCAATCTGTGCAAAATAGATGCATTTTTAAACAAGATTTGTCTTAGTCTTACACTCAAAAAACTGTCTCCAAAAAAACCAGTGCATAGCAGAAGCTAGCAGAAGACTTTCTCCAGATGTTTGCTCTTGTTGATCCTATTTCTGCAGCAACTCAGGAGTTTTGGTGCAATGTAAGAACTGAATTTAAACTCCTTGGCATTAAACTGGTCGCCCCCTGCTCCTCAGGGTAACAGCTGTATTTATGCATGAAAGCCACATTTTCATTCCTCAAGAAGTGTGTCTGCACAGATGAGCCTCTGACCTCAATATATCAGCTCAGTGGTCAAGAGCCTTACGCAGAAAGAGCTTTGGTGTGCAACTCTTCCACTTGGTGAGTTTAATCTATGTAGGGATGACAACAGAAAGTTCTCTACAAGAGACTATGCAGGTTTAAAGCTGTCCTTGCTTTGGATGAAATCATTGCTTGCTCCTCAAGGAGATTTGTGATATCTGGAATCTGCATTCATAGTGTACACATGGGAAGTCTGTCCAACACAGGGAGGTAGCAGAGATGTTTGTCATTCTTCCTCTGTCCCTTTTCCCTAGGAGGAAAGCCAGTTTTCCTGCCTGCAGCAGGATTTAGGAGTGCAAGACTACTTCTGTCATGATGCCATCACAAGGCCATTGTTTCTATCTGAGTACTAGAGGAATTAGTCAGTAGGAGAAGGATGATGCACCAGGAGATAGCCAGTCAGTGCATACCTTTTGAGGGCATTGACTTCTCCTAACAAATTCACCAAAGGCCCATTTCAGTCTACTTCTCCTCTTCTTGCTATGTTGACTTCGTTGTTTGTTGTTGGAGGACAGGAGTTACCTAAGGAGCTCTGGGCAACTGAATAGAGGAGCTGAGTCTGGGATGTGAACTTGGCAGCTGCAGACACCAAATGAGGAGACTGCTCTCCTGGAAATGTGAGAAATCTCTGGACACTGACAGAGTGCATGGCATTATGACTGTGATCTGCCCTGGATGAGTGCTCCACAGATGCCCCTTGCAGGGCCTAATGCATGTGTCTGCAGCTCTTAGAAACAACGATGTTGCTCAAGGTCCCCTGTCAGCCTTGAGCGTGGTTCCCGTCATTGCTGTTGGATGCCCTGCGGTGGGAAGAGCAGGCGTGCTGGCTGCCAGTTCAGGTCTAAAAATGATGTCTGTGCAAAGTCCATCCTTGTCTGGACTCCAAGGGGCTGCTGAGCACAAGGCCTTCACACAGTTTCCTTAACAGGCTCCTTTTCACTTTTTCCAGGGACTTGCACTGTGCTTCATTTCAGAGTGATCCAGTGAATTAACATATTGTTGCTGCTGCCTGGGTAATTGCATGCCCGGGGTCTGCTCTGCTCCAGCACAGTCTTCCTGGCTTCCCAGACAGAAAGCATCCTTCTCCTTTGGCAAACAAGGTTGCAAAGTATTGCTCTGAGGCCTAGCTCAAAGACTGGAGGAATGGGAGGGGGAAGGAGGAGGGGGAGGCTGTTTCTGAAGACATATCTGGCTTCAAGAGCTTACCTATCAACAAGGAGCTGGAGATGGGGTTTTTCAGTCTTTATTTCTGTACAAAGGTACTAATTTTGACTGAAGCAGTGGTTTTCTTCTGTTTTATGTAGACAACTGGTATGGGTGCACTTACAGAAATTTAGTTTAACACAAGTCACCATGAGGACTCAGAACTGCTTGAAATGAGCTGTCCTGGGTCACACAGGAATTTCAGCAGAAATTGAAACTGAGTGGTCTGATACCCTCTTTCTACTGAAAATAAAACTCTTTGAATAGGTAGGTGTAAAAATGCTTGCTGGTCTCACTTCCGAGTACAAAAACCTCACATGTGGATAAACCCTTAGAGTCTCTAAATTCCTGTGAGACAAGACCACATCTCAGAATACACTGATGAGCATATTATCAAAGCTGGATGGGTTTTTTAATGCAGATGCAAATTTGCATTTTTGAAAGATGATATTCGGTCAGGACTGACTTCTGGTGGGGAGCTGGCATTGCTTAGGCAATGGTCTCCAAAAAGAAGTGTGGTTATGTGCCACATGAGGAGTGCACACAGCTTGGCTATCAGGCAGATGCATGAAGAGGACAGGGAGCATCCAGACTCAGGGATAGTGGGGAGGAAGTTGATTTATATCTCTGCCACTCTGACTTTCTTGGTGACCTGGGGTGAGAAAATGAACCTCTCCTTTTCTACCTCCTCCTCTTCTGCCCACCCAGCACATGTGACAGTTGTCTTGTAGTTTGTATGGGTCCTTCTAAAAAGCTGGAATTTGGTAGTGCTATCTGTAAAGTCCTTGTTGTGAACATTTCCTGTCCCTTATAACATAAGCTATTTTCACTGAAAGGAAAATATTTTTCCAGCACTGTATGACACAAGGGATGGAGAGGATGGTATGGCCATGTTGACAGTGTAGCTGGGTCATCCTGCACCAGAGCTGTGCAGTTTGTGGGGCAGAGGCAAGGCTTCTTGAGGCATCTCCATCCTGTGGAATAGAGGCTGGCACCTCGGGCAGTGTATGGAGAGCCCTTCTGTGACTGGCCTAGCTATGGGGCTTAGGGAATCCTGCTTGTTCTGTAACTATATGTGTGCATTTATGGACATACACAGGGGAGAAAGATGGATGTGTGTGTGCTGCAGGTGGGACATGGACAAAGGTTCCTTGGCCACTGACACCCCAACTGAGATGAACAGTTGCATGTGGGCTGCTCTGGGACTGCATGCAGGACTGGGGTTTGTCATGTCCTGAGAGGAACATAAGGCACAGTGCCCAGGGGTGCCTTCATGGTCTTGGGATGTCGTTGTTTCTCTAACTCTTTTCACTTGGGGCAGTGCTGAGTGATTCCCACCCTTTCCTCCAAAGTCTGCACTGGTGGCAGTTAGAAGTAGGATAATATAGGCTGAAGGGAATCTTGGGTGGGTCAGCTGTGAGATCAGACCAGGTTGTTCATGACTTTCTTGGGTCAAGTCCTGCTTTAGGTGAACTTGGCTGTGTTCCCAGTCACCTCCCTGCGGGTGCTGGGGCTGCTGCTGCATCCCTCAAAGCCATCTCCTGTCCTGGCTGAATGAGCCCAGCTCCCACAGCCTCTTCTCTTTGGGCAAGTCCACCTGTGCTCCTCCACTGAACTTGCTCTAGTTTGTCCGTGTGTTTCTTGTACCAAAACAAGATGCAGTGTCTAGATGGGCTCTCAAGAGTGCTGAGATCTCTTGGCTGTTTCTGCTCCTGCAGCCCAGTGTGCTGTTGGTCTTTTCTGCAGTTTCTTTTCTAAGGTCTAGTTGGCCTGTGGTCCCAACAACTGTCCCAGCCTCTGAGGAGTGGCAGAGCTTCTGGGATGCAGGGCTGTGCCTGGATGATCACTTAAATAGGACCCTCAGAACTGTGCTTGGAAAGCCTGAGAGTGTCTCAGCAGCCAGGAGGGAAGAGGAGCACAGAGGAGCCCTGAGGTGGCAAAGAATTCTTCTCCTTGCTAATGGTGTGGGCTCCCATAGGGAGAGACACAGAGCCCAGCCAGATGAGGCAATGAGCTGAGTTCTGTAGAAAAAAAGCAAAGAGGTGTAGTGTTATAACTACCACTGTCTCACTTACTCATCTGGAAAGCAAGCTTTTACTCGCTGCTGTGCTTCCCGTGGGGCTGTGGCTGTTGATGGCCACGGACAGCTGAGGTCCTGCAATACCAGGGCACAGGGCTGTGGAACATACCTCACTGCTGGGCTTGAGCCACAGCCCCTGGGAGCCATGTGCAGAGGAGCAGTATGTATCCATGTATGTATACCATGCTCAAACAAAATGCTGCAATTCCATGCTGTGCTGCCAGTTTGGTGTGTGAGTTTCGAAGCAGCAACCTATATTCTTGACAATCCAAGAGCCTTGGGAAAAGATCAATTTTTTATGCTGTACTAATTTAATAAATGTCTTTTTTTAGTGTAGGAAGGTAGCAATAAAAGACAAAAAGGAGAAAGAAAAGACAGAAAGACCTGTACAATCATTTTAAATGTTTTCTGCTTTTCCGTTCATGTTCTTTCCAGGAAATGAAACTGGCTATATATGGTATAGGATTGAAACCACATATCACAAGCCACTGTCAAGTTCATGAAGTGACCACATTGAAAAAGTAGTGAAAAATGTGTTCTTACTGGTGCCTTCCTAGCCTGTAGGAATCCTGGCTGTGGCTTGTGATTGTAGTAGGGTGAAGATTTGCATTTTCAAGTTGGCGGTTTTCCTTTTTGCTTTTCCACTTCCTACAAGCTAATTTGGTGTTAATTGTGAATCTGGAATGCAAATCAACTCACCTGCTTGTTTTTTCTTTCATTTTCAGATATTTCTAACTATGGAAGCTCTCCTGAGGAGCTGCATTATGCACTGCTGTCCCTGGGATGGGATGCAGAGCAAGGAGCGAAGAGCTGCAATGTGCCAATGCAAGTTGCTTTTGTGAGGAGGGGGGCTCTCTGGCATGTCATATGGTAACAAAAGACGCTTTACTCTTGGTAGCAAAAATCCTTATCCTTCTTGGTTTTTTCCAGGACAGATGCTATTTCCTGTTAGAGATGTTTTGTATGCAAATCAAGGTGATACAACAAGAAAAAAAGTCCTGAAAGCAATCACACTGATAAACTCAGCCCACGGGGAATTCCTGCTTATCATTTATCTTTACTTTTTTCAATTCTGTACAAGATACTTCTTTGCATGTGCTTTCTTACAGTCTTTAATGTTTGTCCTGCAGATGTCCTGCTTGTGAACTACAGTGCTTGCATTTTGCAGGGCTCCATGTCAGTCTTCAGAAACAAAAGGCAGTAAGTGCTGGAAATTGGGGTTAACAGTCTCTGTGTTTCAGCTTGATCTTGCATTGAGCTGATGCTTTCTGAAGTTCAAGCCAGACATGAGCCTCACACTACAGATTGCCACGTGCCTGTAGTGATGATCTACCTGGAAAGGTGATCCCAGAAACCTCAGGCTTGAAAAAAAGAGAGACAAAAAGCAAAAAGAGCCAGGAAAAAGTTTGCCTAGTAACTTAAACAGGAACTGAGGCACCTCAAGAGATGGTGTGGGCAGCACTTCACTAATGCAGTAACACAAGTTAATCACCTCATTGCTCCAGCAAAGCAGACTCACATAGAATCACAGACTGGTTTGGATGGGAAGTGATTAAACATCATCTAGTTGAACTGCCTTGCCATGGGCAGGGACACCTTCTGTCTTGGGCATCCACAGCTTCCCTGGGCATCTGCTCAGCCTGTGCCCTACAGGTGTCCCTGTAAGTGGATTGGTCTGATCAAAGCCTTGCTCTCACCAGGCTGCCACCCTGCTGATGTTACAACAGGCTGTGAGGATGAAAAAAGACTCAGAAACAGAAAAGGACATGTCAGAGAGCTGCAGAATGGCATTGCCAAAGAACATTCTCATGTGTGTCCAGAGATAGCCACTGCAGCCCAGGCCTTGTTGAATCATGCTGTGGTTGTTCTGGCCTTTGTGTGGGTAACAGTGATAATCATATGTGTGGTGCTGGGTTTTATTATTTGCTTTTTTCCCTTAAATGTAAAATTAACAGCCAAATTGGTACTGATGAGGCAGCAAGGCTGGTGCAGCTTTTATCTATCCTGAGCCTCGGAACAAAGGAGGGGAGGAAAATGGCTTGACCAGTTTGGCGGCTGTGCACGTAACGGTCCCGGAGTTCAAAGCAAAAGGCACAACAGTCAGATACCCAAACCCGCCTGGGCTTTGGCTGATAAGTCACATTTCAAAGTAAAAGGCAATCCTGTAAGGGCTCTGCTGAGTGCCTAAAGCCTCCAGTGCTGAGTTGTCTTTAAAAGGGGATTTCATAAGGAGTAATATGAACAGAAATGGGTCTTTTGTGGTTTTATACATTCCAGGCATGCCAGGACTGTTCCTGTCAAGGATGGGCAGTCTCTGGGGTTTTGGGTTCTTTTTTTTTCCCCCCCCCCAAATATTTGCCACAAAATAGCAGCTGAAATGGTGAAAAATAAATGAGAGTTGCAAAATCATTACAGTAGCAGTAATGGAAACTGTGAGGCTTATACTTAAACTGGCTGTGGGGTTTCACTCCATCTTCTGCACTGTTGCACTATGAGGATTGCTACTTTTACCTGCTATGACCACTTCAGGATGGATGATTTGAAAGCAGAGCTTTAACTGTTGGTTACCCAGGACCTCAAAAAACAGTGCTTTTGGTTTTTTCAGAAGCAATACTTTTCAGCTGAGCCACTCTTAAGTCTGAATTCCTTCAGTGTCAGTGCAGTTATGTGACCATACAGCATCTTTACATGATGATTTCTGCAGGTCTGTGTGTACAGAAATGGGGCCTAGCTGTTCCTGCTTCAGGTGCACTTTTGTTTTACACAGGTTGTGCCAGTTTGGATTGTACCCGTACATGTTAACACAGAGTTTTAATTGATGTAAGAGTTTCAATGCACAAAGTTGTGGCGCCTGAAATCTGAAAGAAGAGCACCTTCACTCTGCCTTAAAACAGTCTGAAGTTTCACATGCAGTAAAACACCAGATGTTTTGTGTAGAGCTGCCCTGTTAGATGAGTGTCTAATTCATAAGCCTACGTGTCCTGTTCTTCTCCACATGGATATTGCTCCTGTTGCTGTAGTCCTGTGTCTGGTGTAGTAGCAGAACCTCATGGACAGCTGGGAAAGCCATGGCCAGAGGTGTTACTGCTATCACCTCACAAAAAGTATGGCTGTAACAATGTGCAATTAAGTGTGGGCTTCAGCCCCCGAGAGACTTCCTACACAGACACTCAGTACCTTTATTAGCAGCACACACTGACCACAGCCAGCACCTTCATGACCTGGAGCTGCACCTTTACCTGCTCTGCAGGTGAGACTAATCCCTCTGTGGGGGGAGCAGAAAATGGAGCCAGGCTCATCCCAGCAGAGTCTGAACCACGGGACCATTGATATCCATCCTGACAATTTGTTTTCAGCCCAAGTTTGGCTGGAGCAGACAGAGGGTGAGAAAGCATCTCTTTGAAAGTGTCAGTAAAAGAGACACTGTTGGAATGAACCTTCTGGCCTGGTTTTATTAAACGTGAATATGGTTACTTAGTGGTGAACAGGAACTGGAGTGGATTTAAGAGATGGTTTTTGAGGCCCCCTCCCATCCTCCAACACAGGCTGATGTTGCAGGGAAGTCTCAAGGCTGTTGCTTGGGCTTTTGTAGATCTGTGGGTGGAGGAACTTAATCACCAGGGTTGTCATCAAATGCTGCACTTACAAGATACAAGGAAGAAGTGCTTGTATTAATTCTGTGCTCAACATAAATATTTTTCATCTTGGAGGAGTCTTTTAGCCTTCTGGACTGCTGCCATTTTGGCTTTTTTTTTTTTTTCCCCTTAAAAAAGGAAAAAAAATTCTTTCCCCATCAGTGCTACCAACCACAGAAATTTGGAAACAAAAAGTCAGAAGGGGTGTTCAGCAGTGAGCTGTCTTTTTACTAGGGCCATCTTTTAGGAGTTGGTTTCGAAGTAGATTTTGTTCTGTCCACTCAAGGTCTCTGCTGTGGAAATATTTATTGCTATGAAACTGTAGCAAGCTTTATAAGTGGCAGGAAAAGCTACTTTAGTAACCAAACAAATGTGATTTCCTAGAAGTCACACAGGTGCACATTTGGAATTTTTTTGTTATGTTTTGTACCAAAATAATCTTTCCACTGATTTATCTGGAGTGGGAAAATTAGTGGACCCTGAGTTGCATTTTAATATAGATTTTATCCATTTAATCACAGCAGAAGGGTACATAGAGATTCTCTGTTATTCTTCTTTTCCTGTGTATTTGCTTAGTGTTTTGTGCCTCAGAATCTCTGTTTTCCCTCTTTCTGATGGTTTGAGAATTTTGACAGAGAGGATAAAAATGCTTAAAAGTTCTAATGTCCTTGGGAAGGCTATAAAAGTTACTCAGTGGTGAAGAGATGCAGGCAACCTGTAGTAGAGCCAGTTTTTGACAGCATGGGAAGTGGTTAGCGCCTCATTGGACATCCTCACATCAAAGCTGGACAGTGGGCTGCTTGAGATACTCTATTTGAACCACAAATTACTGGGCTTTGGGCAGAAATCACTGTATGAAATTCTGTGGTCTTTATTAGGCAGGCGGACAGACAAAATAATTTTGCTGGTTTCTCTCAGCTCTTAGAATTTATGAATCACATAGTCAGGGTGTTCTGAGGGAGGGTTTGAGTTTCCATGAAAAGTTTGCCTTGGTAGCATGCAGACAACAAAACGCATCTGTTCCCTTGTCCTTTCATCATGCTGTGTTGCTTTCGAATTGTTCCAGAAAGAGGATGAAATTGGCTTGTTATTTAAATTTTAGTATGGGTGGGTGGCCAAAGCAACTCTACCTTGGTTATTATGGGCTGCTGTGACCACAGGAGTAGATGGTGCCTCGTGCCAGCCCTGATTTAACAAACACCTGAGGACCGACTCATCACTGCAGCAGAGCCCGTGGGAATTGTGTGCCATGGGATCCTGCAGCAAGGCAGTGATTGGGAATATCTCCTCACACTCTTTAGTAGTAAGGATATAATCAGCTTGTAGCCTGGTATCTGATTAAACAGCACAATGTGGAAAAATAACCAGCCCCACACTGTTAGGTGTGGTAGTTGAATGTGTGTAGCTGGGAACAAAGAATTCAGGCTCTGTCTGAAGTGTGTGTGAGCCCATCTGGGGAGCACTGTGTCAGGAGAGCCTGTGGGATCCTCATGTGTAATCATGTGAGAGCAAGCTCGTGATGGAGCTGTGAGACAGAAAGGAACCCTGCAACTCTGGAGAGCCAGAAGGAGCAGGGATGTGACTCGTGACTTTGTCCTTTTAAAGGGGGACGCTGCCTGGTGTCTGTACTTGAAGAAGGGAGAGGAAGTGCCAGGAAGAATTCCTGGAAAGTCACAGATGACTTGGGTTTGCCTTGACTCCAGGTCTGAGGAGTGCAGTGTGTTTGGTTAATTGGGATGAAGGCTGGCAAGGGGGTGACCACATCTAGAGGAAGAAAGTTTTGATCAGCAGGTTTGGGGTAAGGAGGAACCCTTAGAATTTCTGTGTCCTTTTCCAGATTTTAGAGGAACTGTCTCTCTAGCATTGCAACTTTAGTCTAAAATATTTGGCTTACTGTGTAGAGGTCTTGGGTGAAAGGGACTGATACGCAGTGTAGTGAAGGCAGGACGGACTCTTTGTGTTTTTCTGCCTTTATGCTCAGAACTCTGGTACTCCCCAACACCTTCTTCCCTCAAAGAAGGGAAGCACCTTCTACCCCTCCCTGGGGTAGAGAAGTCCTGCCACAACACTGGGAATAGTGTAAACTGTCAGGACAAAATGCTTTGGAGCCATGTCATCTTAAGACAGGTGTCTAAGATATCTGGCTTTCCCCCTGGTAATGGCTGTTGGTCTCCAGCCATGTGGGAGACCAGAAATTTGGCTGAGATGTGGACTCCTGTGCTTTGGATGTCTGAAGCTGTGTGAGGTGAACGCCCCTCTCACTGCCTGTGTGCGTGATGAGGAGTTAGTGGAACAAAGAACTTAACAAAGGACCGTCTGACACCACCTGAGATGAAAATTATATGGAAACTTTAATCAGCTCTTTGCAGCTGAGCAGTCTCTGGAGGTCCTGTACCAAACATGACCCACTTGCTGAACCCCAGCAGTGCAGCACTGGGCACTCCTCTGCCTGCCTTCAGAAGAATGAAAGGACAGCAGTGTAAAAAGAGATAAAGACAGCAATCAGTGGTAAGTCTTTAATAAGAAAGAGCTGGGGTATTTTGTTCATTATTAAAAGCAAACCCATCTTCTGCAGTATTTCTCTTTGTGTGGTGCTCAGAAAGGAGGGAG